GCTAGGTGGGTGACTTGGACTAGACAGTAGTGATAGGCACCAAGGCTAGCTATTACCCCAGCCCCAGTGGAAGCGAAATCGGACAGGCCTCGCTGTACGGGAACTTCGGACGCTAGGCACCACTATATTCTACCAACCTGGTATCCTTATTGTAGAGATCATAGACCCCTGGGTTTTATTTTCGGGGACAGCTAACTAGCAGTCAGTACCCCAGCCAGACAGCCTAGCGTCATTTTCCTAGCTTACCCAAGGCCCGGCGGAACTCAGACTGACAGTCCTACCGTCCTTCCCCTAGCTTGCCCCTATCTTGGCTAGGTGGAACTCAGACCTGCTGGGGTAACTACCGTATTCTATACCCTAGAGTCGAAGTCAAGTCTATTCTACCCCTCCCCCAGTCAACGGTAGATGCATGTAAGCCCTTAGGCCATATGTATGTGTGCTCAGGAAGCCATGGATGTAGGCTATTTATGATGTATGTGTATATATCCGGAAGCCAGTTATATACCCGAATGCAGTATGAATCATATATGGGGCCGAAGGCCATATGTCAGCACTATATGTGTGTTGAGAATACCATGTATAACGGGCCAGACTGGACAGATCCCCCCAAAAGTCTGTGAACAAGCTCGAACCCGTGACCTGTGAGATGTAACTGGAAGACTCAACCATATGAGCAATGATGGGAAATAGCATGTGTGTGTGGTATATGAGACTGGGGAGGAGAATCGAACGATTCAGACCAACACCCCGAGCAAGCCCTGCGGAACCCAGAACCAGCATACAACAACCGGGACTTGATCCCCTGACCAATACAGGCAGGGTCTGTAATCATAACCATGTGGTGGTCAGAGGATAGTGTAAGTCCAGCCGTGCGTCATTCTAACGCCCTGCCGGTGTCCATGCGCAAGGCTGCAGATTTGAACCCACAACCACTGAGGGCGTGCCCTAGGAAACGTACGGGCCACTACAGGAGCGCCCAAATGTAAGCTGGGCCAAGTACTGGTGGTTTAAACCACCAGTACCTTTCAAATGTAAGACGCACCGGGTAAAGCAGGAGCCAAGCAGGGGAGGCCCGCCGTTGATAAATCGAATCGGCGGCCCCTTTTTCGTTTTGGGCCTCCGACACCACCCATGACCAACAGATGGGAAAGGTACTGGTGGTTTAAACCGACCAGAAAGAAAAGGTGTAAATTGGCCTGTTGCCCCTGAAAAAGGTCCTGTATTTTGCAATTCGTGCCAAATGCCCTCCTGTGCTGTGACCCCTGTTAGAAAGGCGGCACAACTTCGTGCCATGCCCCTGGGCCTGACCCATCCCACTGTCAGGCCCACAAAGTTCTGACCACGGACCCGGAACAAGTAGGCATCTCTTCCACCTCCTTACTACCATGCACGTAACCACCACTACCTCTTAGCCTTGTTTTGCCGAGGCGGAAAAGAACTGTCTGCCAAGCTTTGCCGAGGTGCCACCGCAGGTTCTGTAACATTTTCTTTTTTGATTTTGGCTATGGTAAATGGGCCCGGTTCCCAGCACGTGCTGCTCCCCCCCCCCAACAAAAGGCAAGAAAAATAAGAAAAGAAAATTTGGTGTTTCATGTTTGCCTGTGAAAGGGAGCGCTGGTTGAAAAAAAGAAAAAACAGAAAATAAATGGATCCATCTGCGTCTGTAGCACATCAATATGGGAAGGAGGAGGAGGAGATGGGGCACGGAGGTAACCTGCCTTCATGAAGCTAATGGTTATTTATCCTACCTATCTACCACCTTCTCTTCCTCCTCCTCCTCCTCCTCCTCCTCCTCCTCTGCCTCCCCCACTTCCAGCCTAACGCATCAAATCAAATTGAATGACCATTCATGAGTGCAGCGATAGATAAAAGAGACCGCCATGCATCTGAGATGTCAAACCGGACTGGAACCTTCCACCCGCAAACGGGCGAGTGAAGGGATGACTCAGTACTGCGTCCGTAGCCTTGCGAATATGCTTGTGCATTGGATCGTCGGACAAACAAAAGGAAAAACACATAAGCAGCCTAATGAATCCGCATGTGCACCACGAAGAGAACAGCTTGGCCCCAGCCAACTTGAGAATCATGATTGAGTCACCCCCAAAATTTACGAGGTTCGGGGCAACTCGGCCAATACAGCTGGCAGCGACTGCCAAAACAAAATCAAAAACACCACACTGGAGTTTGGGCAAAGCTTTGCTCGCAGGGCAATCCGCCTCGTACAAGAAAGGCCTGGATGCATATACCTCACATCAGCCACATGCACATGTCAGAGGCCTAAACGCAATGCCACCCGTTGATTCATTTTATCGACGACGCACTCGTCGCGACTTTTCTGGACCAGCCGATGAAACATTTTCATCAAGGTTGGGGGCATGTATTGTCGGCTTAAACAACAACTCTACTGGACATTTCGGTGAGTTCGGAGCGGGTCGGAGACGCACTTCGGTGATTTTTCACGCTCAAAAAAATAAGGGGAAAAATCTGAAACTTTGAGATCCTGTAGATTAGGTCGTGATCTTTATGGGAAAAATATCAGAATATATATATACAGGGTTGCAGGTATTCGGGACGGGCCGAACGCCTGAACCCGAACACCCGAACGTTCGGGACCCCTTTGGAAGGCGTTCGGCCGTTCGGGCCGAATG